GACACCATAACTCCTGTTTAATCACTACAATTTCATTTGTTTTGAACAATATATAAGTTGGGAGCTAACAAAATTATAAAATGGTGCTAATGGATAGTGAGAGGCTGAACTGCAAAGAGGGCCTCCCATTGATTCATCACTTTTTGGTTTCAACACATTCTTGCCAATCTTGTTGTTATGATGTATGATGAAAAGGACAGGGACGTGCTTCTGTTACACTAATGACCTGCTCTCCTTTTATGACTTATAAACAGGCCAATGTTGCCATACAATTTGTGATGGTTCAAGCAACACCGCTTTAACCCTACCCTTAGAACAACCATCTAAATTAAGTTCAGCGAGGGAGGGGGTTTGCTCCAACTGATTACTGTTAATGTGTATATTACAGTTGGAAATGAAGTCGTTAAGAATAGACCAACATAAGGAGGAAGGATGAATATGAGGATGATGTGGCGGATAGTCATCCATCCACTTAAAATTCGTGAATTCTATCTCTTGTATCAGATCTGTTTAGAAAGAGAAGAATTACTTGTCAGCCATTAGGGCATCTGGGAACATACAATTTCTAGCAAAATACAGACCATTATCATGTATATGTGCACTTAAAAGTACTTTAATAGAGGAAAATAATGCATTGCTAAATGTTGCAAGAAAATTCATCCTCTACCCTATTCCTCTGATACATTATAGCTCACAGAGAGCAAACATAGTAATACTTTTTCCTGCTTATTAAAACTTGAAGTCTCTTTTACTCTTGAAAAAAATAATGTTCTATGAGGGTCAGTTTTCAAATTTTGATGTGCGATTTGGTTTTGTGGTTGGTTAACTGGGATGTTTTTTTTTTTGTAGAATCCATACATGGTGAACATTATCCTGGCTGGATATGACAAGGGGACAGGCCCTTCTCTATATTACATTGATTATATTGCTACTCTGCACAAGGTGGATAAAGCAGCGTTTGGTTATGGCTCCTATTTCTCTCTTGCCATGATGGATAGGCACTACCGAAAGGACATGACAGTTGAAGAAGCTGTTGATTTGGCAGATAAGTGCATCATGGAGATCCGATCTAGGCTGGTTGTTGCCCCACCAAACTTTGTGATTAAAATTGTCGACAAGGAGGGAGCCAGGGAATATGCTTGGCGCGAGTCTGTCAAAGATGCTCCCGTTTCCAACATCTGAAGCTCTGTTTTTGTGTTATGTTTACTCTTGAAGCCTATGAATCTTATGTTCTGGGAAAAAAACTTTAGTCATTGTAACTGCCCAAAAATCTGACGCTACAAGTATTCACTGTTTGATCGATACACCCGTTGTGTTCAAGATTTTAGTTTTAATTATTTTCGAGTTTCAGGTCGATAGAAAGATGGTATTGTGAGTCTATTCTTATGTTTCAACTATCCCTTGTGTTATGCTGGCATGTCTCTCTTCATTAATTTGGAAGAATATAGGGGTAATACAATCGTCGCCAATTTGCTTCACCGAAAAGGAGTTTTGCATGGACTGTGAGGAAAAAAAAGAACCTCCCCCTCCTTTGACATGTAATTTAATCAAATTCACTAAATGTCTACACCAATTGATCAACTGAAGGTAAGAAGTTCAAAGGAAGAGGAAGAACAAACCTGGGCAAGTTAATAAACTGAATGGCTGTAGTAAGACAAGTGTTTGCTCATGTTGGATCTTGCATCGCTTTTCATTCATATGCTAAGAAGATTACGTGTACATCAGATACCGATAAAGCAGTACATGTCAACAACAAGAATTTAACAAAGAATTTTATGCCAGTAGTTTTACATCTATCCACAGAATTCTGATCTGACTTAATATCTTCCAATCAAACTGTCAGTTAATGATGCCATGAAAGAGACAGTATTAACTAAGTTGGTGCTTGCAACAGAGATACAGGAGAATCGACATTGCAGATATAACCCATAGACGGTAATTGCACATTAGTTCTATGGCTGATGAACATTCTGTTGTGGCTTGAGCACCGGGGCTAGGATCGTCACCGACATTGGAGGATGGAGGTGGTAAACTGACAGATACTGGTGGAGCTTGTGGTGAAGGGTTATCATGATCACCTGCAATAAAGCGACAATTCATTTTTTTTACTAGAAAATCAACTTCCAACATCAAATTTCATTCCCCTAGTTTTATTCCTCCCTTCCTTTTTTGTCCGTTGGAACTAGTATCTGAAGTTTCTAAGAACTGCAGTTATGTGACTCTGATATCAATTTTATAAATGTTATATAGAGATAATGTTATGAACAATTGGAATGTCGAAGTTATAAGCTTGAAGAAACAGAAGATAAGTAACTTGCCTGGATCTGGACTGCTTGGTGGTCTAGGAGAGCTAGGGGGTGTAGGACGACGCACTGGTCTTGGACTTGAACCCCTGTGATCTGCTAGAAATTCTTACACAATGAAGTGATCAGGAGATTCTGAATAAGTAGTATCATCAGTTTGGTTGTGACAAAAGATCAAAGGAGAATTACCTGTTATTATTGATCTAAAAGGAGGCAGCGTAGTTGAACCTGAGTCACGGAAAAAAAACATCGTCAAGGTCGAGAATATGCTGAATGAAATGGCTGATCTTTGAATGTACTTAAAAGATCTTCAGTATAGTGAGCTATGTAACTTTTTGTCTTCAACATACTTGTGTCTAACAGGTGTAACATGACTCCATATTACAGAACTCTTAGAAGTATATCAACACTTCATATATGTATACCTAAAGGAGTCCAGATAACGTAAATGGTGACGGAAACTCAAGTATCAAATTAGCAAATCAAATGGGAAAAAGAGAAAGAGGTTATGGTATTTATGCTTGGAATAGTGCTCAGTACTGTCATGCGATTACTGCAGATGGATTTACACACGTATGGTTTTAAATTCATGCAACTTTGAGATCATGATCTACTTAGTGGACATATTTACTCACAGTGGATGCATGCATTATACTAATAAATGAAACTATTACATGTAAAAGCTACCTTCGGAATTAGGAGATTCAATGAGAATTCGTGAAACTTTTTTCACATCTGTAACAACGTCTACTAGAAATATCTTTCACATCCGTGATAACATGAAGCAAGTAGTAGTACGATCTGTTCTAGATAGCACGTCTAATGTTAATTTATACATACAGAATAATTCATTGACAGTAACAACATTTGCACATATACACACAGAAGTTCTTCCTTTGTGTTCACTTGATGACAAGCTATCTGTGCAGATAACTCAAAACCACAAATGGATGCATTAGCAATATGAACTCTTCATAACATAGAGTGAAATAACAAGCATACATTTCTACAGTGTTAGCAAAATGTAAGTAGATATTCAACTATATTGCAACTCCATGGTAAGATTACCCCCATTTTTTGGTCAGATTCAACGAAATGCTTTTGTATGTGTAAAGAGCACATTCGAAAACTCTAACAGAACGAATTATATCACAAGTCCAAATCTAAAAAGAAGAATCTAATCATAACGCCAAAAGCACAAATTTGTCCTTAACCTCTTTGTGATAAAATTCAAATCCTAGCATACTTAACTGAGTTCTCAATTGTTCCAATTTAATTGGCAATTTTCATCGACAGACATTTGACTAATTTCCAGAGCTAAATCGAATCATTGTTATATTGAAACTACATGATTATGTAAGCTAGAATTCACCTCATATCAAAATGATTAAACATTAACTACACATATTTTAAGATATCGATCAAATCACAATTTTGCCTGAACAACTGAAACCGAAGCATCAAACACTTTGAAACAGAGCAACTAATTCAATTCATAGACTAGATCAACAGCATCTACTTTCAACTAAATTGTTACTATCAGTCCATCACGAAAAAATTTCAATTACATTTAGAAGATTCCATGCAGTCACAGGAAGATTATAGCGTGAGTAATCGGAATCCAAACCTGAACAGAGAGACTCGAGAGATAGATTCTCCGCGCCTTCTTTATCCTCCACGGGACACACAGAATTTAGAGACAACAGCTTCATAGAACTGATAGGAAATCCGAGGAGCTGAGGGTTGCTAACGAGGTAGCAAAGGCAAATCGCAGTATTATCGACAAATGCCGCCGAGAAGTTATCGCAACACTGAAACGGAGGCGAATCAGAGATATTGTTCGGTGGATCGGAAATGTACGGAAGGCATGGAGAGAACGCCACCAGTTCGTCTGCACAGCTAATCGTGGTTGATAATGACTCCGGCGAAGTTGGCGGAAGTTCTGGTGGTTCCGGTAGTGTTCCGGCGGCGAGTAGGAGAACTGAGAAAAGGATCAGTACGTCCGCCATTGCTCTATAGAGAGAGAGAGAGAAACGGTTATTTTTTTGTGTTGCTGATCAGAGGGTTGTTGAGTAACTGATTAGTGGAAACTAATTTATACAGATTCTGAAAGTTGGGTAGAATGTTTTATGCATGGAAGAAAGTAGCGAATGGCGGGAAAAAAGAGATCTTTTATTTCCATATATGCCCTCTAAATTGTGGAATTTACAGGAATGGTGTAGTCAGTAGTTCGTTTTTTTCTGCTTAGCAAACTAATAACCCCTCAAATTATCTGGAATAATCATAAATTTAAATTTTTACCATACATAGCAAAAGTGAGTTTTACCAGAGATATTGCAAATATCTTCTTAACACGGGTATCATATAATAGCAGATACACTTATTACGTCAGACGTCAATGGATACAATATATTTCACTATTGTTATGAGACCAAATCCAATGTATTTCACTATGTTTGCGAAATCAGAATACGTCTATCATTCATAATTAAGTAAAATCTCACTATTTTTTTACAAGATAAGAATAAGATATACGTACACATTGACATTGTCCTTTTTAAACTCACTTATGCAATGACGTTGATATCCTATGATAAAGAATTAAGAAGTAGTATGCAATTATACATTATTAGATCTCTATACGTGATTTCATCATGTTTTACATTATTATAAAGCAAATTGAAAAGTTAAAAAATGTATATATAAATTTCAAAACTCCCAAAAAATTTCATTATACAGATAGTACAAATTGATTACAAATGAAACAACAAAAAATGTTTGCAAACAATGTTCACATACTATAAGAATGAATTCATTATAACTTCAAAACAATTGCTCCACAAGCTACCAGAACAACAAATGGTGAAAATCTCGGTGAATCCGGGGCAGAAGAAGGCGTTAAATTAGGCCTGAATCCTGATCCTGTATCAGTATTTCCAGATCCGTCATCTGTTAAAGATGGAGGTGAAAATCCATTGTAAGGATTTCCCAATCCGCCGCCTGTTGGTGATGGTGGTGTTAATCCTGGTGTTGTATCACTTCCTGGTCCCGAAGGAGGATCGAATGGCTCGGGAACATCGTCACCTGGCATCAATTTACATTGAACCAATTTAGCAATTCGCGAGATTGGACCTTAGATTCATCATGTTCAATTGAATTCACGAGAAATTTTGAAAATGAAAAATGAATTACCGTCAGGGCTAGGAGCTTGAGGTGGCCTAGGATTTCGAAATCGTGGAGATCCTGATGGTGATAAGGCAGCTGGACCTGTCACACCAATATAGCTTTATTAGATCAAAGTATTTGATTTCGATTTTGATTTAGAAATTTTTTTTTGTTCGTATTAGTTTAGATAAATTAATTGAGTTCGTTTTGGTACCTTGAGCTGGAAGAGGAGTAGAAGAACCTGCAATACAAGAAATTGAAAACAGAATTCGTTACCAAATCATACTACTCGAATGCCAAATGACGTTCATACCCCTCTAACGGAGCGTGCACTCGAGCTACAATTTCATGAGTGTTATCAATGACTAAATACTGGGGAAAAAATGTTTGATTTTACCTTTGCATTCAATGGGAACACTATCTTTGTTACAAGCTTTGGGGAGGGAAATCGCGACGTTTCTGTTTGGTATTTTAAAAGGAACATTTCCAGTAACAATAAGGCAGAGGCAATCTTTGCCACTGGCTGTAAGTTCCTTAAGAGATTGACAACAAGCTGAAGTTGGTGAACCTGAACCATTATTGCTCATGAAGTTAATACAAGGGCTAAAGCTACTTAGCATCGCGCTACTACATGCTGTAGTAATTTGCCCTGAAACTTGTATGCCAAAAATCATCAATACTATGGCTAAATATGGTACAAAACGTCGAAAATCCTTAAAAAATTTATACCCTTCCATTTTGGGATTTTTTATTTTTTGAGATTTTTAAGAAAGAAGTTGATTTTGGTTATGGAAGTCATAAATAAGAAGGGTGTTTTATAGAAGAAAATTGAGGTTTAAGAAGAAAATGGAGGGAAGAAAATATGAAAGTCCAAAAGTGCTATTGAAGTTCAACTACCTTTAACTAACTTTATATCCTACAGAGTATTTAGGTGACCTTGCAAGTTTTATTTTCTTTGTATGACTTTTTTGGAAATCTTTAGAAGCTAAAATGATGTGTTTAAATAAGATAAAATATATTCATTGACTTCTTTAATGTCATCTTCTTGTGATCATAGATCATGTATTTGAGTCGATGTAAGCAGCCATTAATATTTGTATTATGATAGATTGTTCGTATTATATTTGATGGGGAAAAGGCTCAAATATGTCATCAAACTTTCAAAAAAGGCTCATTTATGCCATCCGTTAAAAGTTTGGCTCATCCATGCCACTATCGTTTAAAAAAAGGCTCATTCATGCCATTTTTTTAACGGTGATTTTACAAAACCACTTTTTACACGTGTCAGATTTAAATTCGTCCATGTCATTTTTTATTTATAATAAAAAATCAAAAATCTGAAAAATTATTAAATAAAAAACCCACCCAAATAAAGATCCACCCAAGTAAAGACCCACCCAAATTAAAAAAATATCCCATATAACCCATTAGTAACCTAATTTTTCAATTCACTTTTACCCTAGAAATCCAATCTAAGAATAAAAGTTCCAGACCCATTATAAATATGGAATTTTTTGTGCACCGACTATACTTTAGTGACTTTCTTACAATTAACTATTGAAATAAAATTTATTTTCTTTGAGAAAAAAATAGAGGATGGAAAAAAAAATGTTATGTGCTTATTGAACATCATATATTTTAGAGACAAAGGATAAAGATTCTTACAAATAATTAGACAATGAAATGCATATAATTAGTAATCATTCAAGTCATAGTATTCGTTCTTATTTAACAAGTATACTTTGTCACTAATACACATATCTTATATCCCTAAATTCAAGATTCTTTCTTAAGAGTAATTAAGTGATCACACTTGAGAACCAACCGAAAAAGCGCATCAATTTTGTTCACTCCCTCCATTCTATAATAATTTATTTTTTGAGGTGTTTTACACCCTTTAAAAAAAGTAGATTAAGATATAAATTAAACTTATTTTTTTATTTTTACCCTTAGTAACTATTGTCAAATTTATGATTAAAATAACTAAATATTAATTAATCACTAATTTCAATACTAACTAATGAATGGTAAAATTGGAAGAACACTCTAAAAGTAGTCTTAAAAACTGAATAGGTTAGTTGATTTAAAAAATGAAAAATGTATCAAAAATATTCTATTTAATATGGAATGGAGGAAAGTACATACCTTGATTAAATAATTATTCTTATAATATGAATATTTTTAATTTTTAATAATAAGTTAATTTACTATTTTTATTAAATTAACAATAATGCTTATATATAGATTTATAATATGTGATTATCTTATAAGTGATATGATTACTTAGACTAATTTAATAATAATCACTAAAATAATGCTAGGAAATATCATGGTCATACAGGTGGTAACAAAATAGACCAAACAAAGGTTTCTATGGATCATTTTGACCCATTGCAAATATTCTTTCAAAATATATGATCATTTTCGCATGAAATTGGTAAAAGTCAGCATACGAAATTGATAAATAAAAATCTAATGATACTTGTAAGTTTCATTTTCTTTCTTTTTAAAATTTAAACGGAAGAATTTTTATATTTTTTTTTATTTAACGGGATAGCATTTCATCTTTCTCTCCTTATAATATACAACCACCAAATTCTTCAAATGTATTTCTTTTTGCAAATATTTAGATGACTTGTAATTCTTGAGTAATGGTTTTATTAACGGATAGCCTTTTGAATTTTTGCCTTTTCCTTTTAATATTTTAGAAAATACAAAATCCACGTATACATGAATATTTGGGTACCACTCATAATATAATTCCCCGTTTCAATTTAGTTGGTTTGATTTAAAAGTGCCAGATGAAATCAATTAATGTTGGTGTGAATTCACACATAATTTATTTAGTAATATAAATCTATATATTAAAAATTATATAAAAAGTACTATAGTTTATTGTTTTGTTTGATTGTTATTTCGTTGTCATATATTCATTTATTTATTTGTAAAGGATTTGCATACATTTTACTATTTTTCACACGTAGAATTTTACTGAATATATTATCGTTATGATAAAAAGTATTATTTATCACAATGATTAACAATTCAAATATTTAGAAAGTAAGTATTTTAGGGAAAAAAATATAGTCAAAAATATTATTTTTGCTGTTTACGTATTCTACGATAACCAAATTTAGAAAAGATTCATATAATTAGGTAAAGAAAAAATTAATCAAATTCATAGTAGTACTTGGATTCTTAAAATCAAATAGAACTAAGACTTACCAAATAATAAGTACATACTAAATTTAAATCATATCCATCAACGTCACTAATGAATAATTTTGCTAATTGTTTTACACAATCTATATTTCAATTTATAGTCATATATCAAATTACTAATACAAACTCAACAAATTGCTCCAAATGCAACTAAAATAATTAACAATGGTGAAATTCCATGACCAAGAAACGGTGCAGCCGATGGTGTTGCCGGAGTTAGCCTGCCGGTATTTGTTGCCGGAATTAACGATTCCGTTGGCGGAGATGGTGGCGTTAGAGTTGGATTTTCATCGGCATGTGGCGATGAATTAGACGGCAACGGCGGAGGAACAGTTGAATCTGAGGGAAATTTGTTATTGAGTTAAATCATATTGTACTAATTAAATTTATAAGTTGATTAATTGAATAATAAATAAAATTATTAGGTTTATTGTCTGATGTAATAAATATGTAAAAAAAATAATGTCAAACAATTTAAGTTTGAACGAAAATTTAACACTACAAGAAAAGAAAAATGTAAATTACATAGAGATTTTTCTGGGGATTAGTATGAAAATCTGCAGCAATGTTTTTAAAATGAAATTTATATATTTATAAACTACGTAAAAAGTGTTATAAATCGAAAAAATTGATAATTCAAAATATCTAAATATATATAAAAAAATTTACCGTCAAAGATAAGACTAATTTGAATCTCAAATTCTAAAAATGTGTCTCATAAATTAAGACAGAGAAAATAATAATTAAAATCGTAAGCACCTTTAGGACTACGAGGAGGGATAATTGGAGCAGTCGTTGGTGAAGCACTTGGAGCCCCAGCATCGCTACGAGGACCTAATTATGAAAAAAGATAATTAATTAACAATATTTTCATTTCAATAATAAAAGCAAATCTTTCTAGAATAATATCGTTTCTTTAGAGAATTTTTAATTGCTATAAAAAGTACCAATCGAATCAATAAATAAATAATAATAATAATTACAAAACAAAAAGTACCTGGCGCAACAACTTCAGGTGGACTGGGAGCTGCAAGTAAGAAAATAAAGGATGTCAATTTCTTTTTTTTAACTAATAAGTATTGTGATAAAGTGATAAGTATTTTTTTTTAAATAAAAAAATTAAATTTATTTTTTTAATTTTGAGTCTCATTATTAAAATTAAATTTGATAATATGAATTTAGATTTAGTCCAGCGTTCTTTTCTTAAAGTGTGACGAAAGGAAACCAAATGGATAAACTATGAGCACTGAAAGGGCTAGGGTAGGAAGTAGACCACCTAATTCTCGGCAAGATGTAAATGTCTCTAAATATTTGTTACGCAATTAAATCATAATTAATTTAAATAAAAAGAATCTAAAGTAAATCACCATCCATGTAAATAGCTTTTATATTATCATATCAACCGTACACGTAAATATTAGACCTAAGTTTATAAATGAATCTGGTCCTCAAATAATCGACTAAAGCTCATTATATTTATTTTAGTGACTCGACTCGATCTATCAAACAAAAATATCATATTTATAATCTTAAAAAAAAACATATGTATTACCCCTTACCTTTTTTGTTTAGAAATTTCTTTTATCAACGATAAAACTATCAACTCATACAACCCTCACGCGTGACTCCGTATCCAGCAAGACTAAGACCCAAAACTTCAAACGAAAGATGAAATAATACTTACTACTCCAGTATCGCGGTTACATAAGCTAAATCCTATAATACTTACTACTCCTAAACATGTAAATATTGGACCTACGTTTATAAATGAATTGGTTTTGAAATAATCGACTAAAGCTCATCATATCCTTTTCAGCGACTCGACTCAATCTATCAAACAAAAATATCATATTTCTAATTTTAAAAAATAAAAAAACATATGTATTACCCCTTATCTTTTTTGTTAAGAAATTTCTTTCATCAACGATAAAACTAACAACTCATACAACCCTCCCTCGTGACTCCATATCCAGCAAGACTAAGACCCAAAATTTCATACGAAAGATGAAATAATACTTACTATTCCAGTATCGTGGTTACATAAGCTAAATCCTATAATATTTACTACTCCAGTACACGTAAATATTGGACCTAAGTTTATAAATGAATCTGATTTTGAAATAATCGAGTAAAGCTCATCATATCCTTTTCAGTGACTCGACTCAATCTATCAAACAAAAAACATCATATTTATAATCTTAAAAAATAAAAAAAACATATGTATTACCACTTACCTTTTCTATTAAGAAATTTCTTTCATCAACGATAAAACTATCAACTCATACAACCCTCCCTCGTGACTCCATATCCAGCAAGACTAAGACCTAAAATTTCATGCGAAAGATGAAATAATACTTACTACTCCAGTATCTCGGTTACATAAGCTAAATCCTATAAACTTTACCTTTGCATTTGAGTGGCACACCAGCCATATTACAAGCACTAGGAAGAGACATAACCATATTGGGATTCATAGGCATTTGAAAGGGAATGCCACCCGTAACAATAAGGCAAAAACAATTCATGGCATTGGTCATCATATTCTTCAATACATTGCAGCAATCTTCGATTGGTAAACCCCCAACGTTGCTGCTACTATTCGTCAAGAAATTCATACATGGAGTAAAGCTAGTAATCATCGGTCCTGTACATGGTGTAGTTATCGTTTGGCCATTGATAGTATGTAGAGACAACGCGTTCAACAACATCCATGAAAGAACCAAATTCGGAAAAGCTAAGTGCTTATAAGACATGTCAGGGTTGACGGTTGACTTTCAAACTGATGGTAGGTTAAGAGTTTCAGTCACGCTGTTAATAGTAATTGAGAATACTTTTAGGATACTAGAGATAATGAGTGAATGGGGGAATTTATAAATAGGTGAAAGTTTGAAAAGATTATTATGATGATGAAGATTAATTAGTTGAATTAAGATTAGATTAGCAGGTTTTTGAAGTTCAACAACCTTGACAAATATTTGTACAAGTACTATTATGGTTTTGATGTTTTTGTCTCTTTGGCTTTGCTTGTCGTGACACATAATTGTTATTAGTAGACGTAATTAAGTTTGAGGTTTGAAAGAGACCCAAAGAAAATAAAGCTCTATTCTATCTCAATGACATTGTAGCGTGAAGCTCCACAGAAGAATAAAGCTACATAATGTGGGGGGGAAACGAAATATTTCACCGGTCTAAATTTACGTAACACTGTTTGACTTGAGACAAAATTTAATAAAAAGGTTCATATATTAACTAAACATAGTTAATCTTGTTTAGTTGATAGATCGATATAATACATGTAATTATATAAATTATAATATACTCCCTCCGTTCACTTTTATTTGTCATCATTGGATTCGGCACACCTATTAAGAAAACAATAATTTATATGACTATTTTACCATATTACCCCTATTAATTGTTGTTTAATACTCTCTCTGTTCCATTTTATATGTCACATTTTACTTTGCAGACTTGCATTAAGAAATGATGTGATTTTACCCTTCTGCCTTATTTAATGTTTTCTTAAGTCAACTTTATAATATATGATAGAATGCATTTCCAAATCAGTCAAAACCTTTTATAACGACTTGTTTGTCTAAATATTTATTGTTATAGTGAAATATTATATTATTATAAAAAAACATATAATATAGCATATAATGAAAGATTGATTACAGTTAATATGAGTGATGTTGTAAAATATTGTTGTAATTCAACCAAATGTAAACATTATTTTCAAAATTTTAACATTCATCAGTTTTATCACTAACAAGTAACATCACCATCTGCATTCCGTTTGAATTGGATTTGGACTTACCACTGCTCAAGAAGCCCAATTACAGAAGCAGTCTCTTAAAGCCCAACTGAAGAATCTGGCCCAATACACACTACCCAGGGATTTAGTAGTCAGGGCCCACAACGAACACGATGTATACACATTTTGTTCATTGATTTGGTGTGAACACTAGATGTTAGTATATGCACGACAATATTAGCAAATTTGTAGAGAAGGTCCACTTTTTGAGGGCTAATAGATTAGTAGACGTTTGTTATAAATTTTAAATATTTTTAACTTTATGTAAACTTTATGAAGTTGAAGTTACGTTTGATTAGAAATTTTTTTTTATGACGGCTTCCACTTGCCCATGAAACAACAAGTTTCCATGATATATAGTTTCATTACAATGATAAAATAATCTTTTAATTTAGCTTATCATAATTTTGATGAATGACGAATTTTCTTTGACTTTGTGTATTATTTATTCATTTCATTGACTCAATTATACAAACATTAGTGTACAATGTATATATTATTTCTTGGAGTTAGGTGATCAGCTTAGAATGCCTATGTTATACAGGTGCCTTCCACGGATATGAATTGTGATAGGATGATTGACATTCTTTCATTCTTAATCAGAAGTTTTGAATAATTCAAGTTTCTAGAAATAAAAAAACCCTTGTTGAGAGTGCCTTTCTCAAAAATGATCCCTACAATACAAATATTTTAATTTAATCAAATTTTAATATAAATAATAACGAACGGTGAGAAGATAAAAAAAAAATTTCCCTCTTTGCCAAAAAGTCTCTAAGGTGATACATTGTAGCCGACTAGCCGTATAAATCTCACGGCATGCATGCGTACATTAATTAATTTATATTACTATTATTATAGACTATTAATTAAATTAACTTGCAACTTGATTAGTCTCAATGACACGTTATTCAAAATATTACGGTGTAAGTTACACTATTTCCAAATCTTACTTCATAAACTCTTTTAATTAGTTTTTTTTTGGTCCCAACAGTTGTTGGATACTTTTCTGATTCAGTTTATGTGATATATATTAGCTTTTGTGATTTAAATAAATATATTTTTAATTGTATATTTTTTAAATATTTTGAATTGTTAATTACTGTGATCGGTGGCAGGCTAGGATTTTAATCAGAGAATTCATAATTTGGAGAAGTGAACACATCGACTAACCAAAGGAAGATTGACATCTACTACATATACATAAAAAAAAATATTTAATCATGTATAAATAGTAACACTTTCCGCCAAAGAAAGTTCGGAATACCCTTGAATGTAATTGGTTCCATTTTTGATTGTGACTTATAATATTCTTTACGTAGTTTAGTAATAGATAAATTTTATTTAAAAAATTTGAAAATTTCATGAGTAAATATTAGTTTAAACTTAAATTGTTGACTCTCAAAAAAATAAAATATGTCGCGTAACTTGAAACATAGGAAGCATATATTATGGAGGCTTGATTATTGATCTGTCCTATATAAACACGAAAAAGAAAGAAGCGCTCTCTGTTGAGTTTTTTTTTTCTTTCAAAATTTTTAAGATTCAAACTTGAGACATCGAGAAAAGAATCATATAAATCTGACCACAGACGAGGATAAACTCTTTAGTTAACAAAAGTAACTATTTCTATCAACAACAAAGTTATGATATAGTGATAGACTATTTCATTCTTAATTAGAGGTTTCAAATTTGAGCGCTGGATATATAAAAATAAAAATTTAGTAATGTCATTTCCTAATAAATCCTACGATGCATAATCTCAATTTAATCAAGGCTTTAATATAAAATCTAGATAGGTGAAAAAAAAAGAAGAAAGAAGTAATCATCACTTCTATTATTTGTCATTTCCAACCTCAAATCCCCTTTTTCTTTCTCTAAAAAGAATATTATAATAAAATTAATTAGAAACTCCAAAACAAGACACTATAAATACCCCATTACATGCCCCTAACATCACTCACAAAGCTAAGGCACACACAAGCTAAGCCATATTCATCATTTCCTTATAAGCCACAAAAGATAATATAATTATTTTTCTCCAAGTATGGCTTCAAAAGGAATTGCTATAATTTGCATGGCTTTTGTCCCAATTATCATTGCCATGATTTCAGTACAAGTAGCCATGGCTCAATCTGATTGTACAAGTACACTTATTACTATGGCTTCATGCCTTAGCTTTGTCACCGGAAGTGCGAAAACGCCATCGGCTTCTTGCTGCTCCGCCCTCTCCGGGGTGTTGCAGTCTAAGCCACGGTGCCTTTGCGTCATTGTCAACGGTGGCGGTTCATCGTTAGGAGTCCAAATTAATCAAACTCAAGCACTTGCATTGCCTAGTGCATGCAATTTACAAACTCCACCCGTTAGTAAATGTTACGGTACGTTACGTTATCATAATATAACTGATAATATAAAGATTTTTCACACTATCAGTATAATTTTAACTTACTATACGGGGTAAGTTACATTTTTCTTCTGTTACCCATCAAAATTGTTTATTATGTTATGGATACATATAAGTAATATTTGCTGTATTTTCTTTAATTTTTTTCGTACATATGAGAAAATATACAAGTATCACTATATTATGATCGAAATCTCATAGACACGCATTAACTAAACTAAGGTTCTATTACCTTTTGAACTTTTTTTTTTTGTAATTTTATGCATCTTTTTTGCTTATGTGACATCCAAATATCTCTCACGCGCCTCAATTGCGTGGAGTCATAAAGTGTGTCACGTAAGACAATAGGTGCACAAAAATAAAAATAAAAAAAGTTCAGAGGGACTTATAACCTTAGTTAAAATGTATCTCTGAAATTTAGGTCATAATCTAGGAGGTATCCGCACAATTTTCTTTTTAATATTTTAAAAGGATAATGTACAAGTACCCCTCAACCTATGCTCGAAATCTCAGAGACACATTTATTCTATACTAAGGTCCTATTACACTAAACTTATTTTATTAATAATTTTCTATCCCCTTTTGGCTTACATGACACTATCTTGTGGGTCCAACACTGGTTGACTTTTTTTCCCCAAACTAGTGTCACGTAGGCCGAAAAGGGATAGAAAATTACTCATAAAATAAGTTCAGGAGATAATAGGACCTTAGTATAATATAAGTGTGTCTCTGAGATTTCGTGCACAGATTGAGAGGGTACTTGTGCATTTTCTCTATTTTAAATGATCATCTAAATGAAAATCATTAATTATTCCGACGTTATATATGTGTAATTCCTGTAAGTAAATGTTTAAATATTTTCCAACTTTGATTTATATGTTTTAAATAAATTGTGCAATTAATTAATATTTCATAGCTGGTAATGGACCGGTAATGTCTCCAGAGGGTGCACCTACAGAAGGAGCTCCAGATTCTTCGACTGGTATAGCTGTCTCAGGTAATTTAATTATAATTAAACTCTTATTTTATAATTAATTATCCTACTTGATTATCTAGTTAACGATCAGATTAATCACAAAATTCTAATTAAAATTTGCATAACATGTATGCATATATAACAAAACACGTTCAAAATATGATACGTATAAAAATCCATCCGTCCCGTATTTATATGACACATGCCATTTGAATTTCGAGAGTCAAACAAGTTATTATATAACTATTAAATAATATTAATATATTTAAGTGTGTCTAAACTTTATATTATGTCTTTTTTTTTCGTATCGTTTATTTATTTTCGTCGATTAATTTCTCAGGCTCAAAAGCATCAGGAAGCAGCATCATGTCTGATGGAAGTTCTCTAAAGGTTCCGGTTCGAGCTGCTGCTGGAATCGTTCTTTTCATGGCTTCCTACGTTTTCATGATTTAAAGTTTATGAATTTTAATGTCCGAGTATCGTAGTATTAAATAAAAGTAGCATTATGATATGTTACATGTTATATTGGGCTTGGTTAATTAGTGTTTGTCCTTAAGTTTGTTGGGTGTGTGTTGCTTTTTAATTATTTGTTTCTCTATATATTGTACCAGTATTTGTGATGCTGTTTTAACTTTATTTCTAAGTGTTTTTTTCAAATTAAATACAGAAAACTGTTTCACGTTTTGCCAGTTTACAATTAAGCATGGTTTATAGTCCTATTATATTTTATATACTATTGCACAATCGGAAAGAACTTCCTTCATTTTGATAATGAAATGTATTTATCAATTGCATTTTCTTCGTCTCAATTTGTGTGATTGTTTAATAATTGAATAAAAAATATAGTAAGATATAATGGAAGACTTTATTGTCTTTTTTAAAATCACCTTAGAGCTTAATTTAATTGATTTTTCTTTACAATAAAGTGTTAATTCGAACCCAATAACACTAAAATGGGAATAGTGCATATCATTAAATAGTTATTAAATAACTTACAGAAATTCTACTTGTTTAGATACTAATTACTTAGATACATGTTAATTTGTAATATAATAAATTTTATCAAATTTTAACGTGTCTAGATACATTCAATACATGTATTCATAGATATGTATTTCAAATTAAATTAGGTGTAATCTGTTCTAGATACATTGTATCCAAGTGAGTTCGTATGTATCTTGAAAACATAGACAAATCTCGCTCGTCTCTCTCATCTTGCTCGCTACTCTCATATCTCAGTCGCGTATCTGGTGTCCCATATACATGTGATTCACATCAGATACATGTATTTAGTGTGTATCTAGAGTGATTCTCATGTATATGTGATGTAATAGATAGACAAATTTCGTTTGACTCTCTTCCTATTTCAATGTATCTGTTAGCAAAAAAACATATATCTTGGTGTATCAAACTTAAAATCTAGTACAAAATTATTAATTAATAAATAAAATGTGATTACATAAAATTATAGAAAAAATTAGTAAATATGATAATTTTAAACTTTTGTCTTCGCTTAGTAATTTTCTTTCAAAGAATTGAAGAAATAATCATAATGTGAATAAAATTGTTGAACAGAACATGTTTTGTTCATTAGACATTAGTTTTAGTTGTAATGTGCTCATAAGGCAGGAGCGGAACTATCTTATATCAGCGACGCATTTTCATCAAAAAATTACATGATCTATATAAGTCAAATTTTAATTTAATGATTATATATATTAGTGTTGATATATTTTTGTAAGATTTAGTATAGTGATTAAGGAATTGCGAAACTTATTTAAGGTTGTGCATTTTATTCTTTATAGTTTATAGCAACATTATTTTATTACTTTATATTTAGACACTCTTTAATAAATAATAAAAATCTCAAAGGTAGGAGTTCCTATCATTTCAATAAGTCACATAGATATAAATAGTGTAATTTCGTGTTTATTGGTTATGACTATAACTTTTCAATTATATTGACCGAGTTAATTTATTTGTAAATTTAATTATGATCAAATCCATTTTTTACATTAATTCAGCATTACACATTTTCTATTTAAAAGTATATAATATTATTTTGTGGATTATAAGAATTAACTCTTTATAAATTAAAGGGAACAAGTTGTTAACAATTAAATAACACAAAGTAACTTTTTTCAATACATTACAACTTATATCAAGAAAATGAGTATTACCAAATCTTACTCATGTCATAATTTGTTAACAATTGAACACATGCAACTTTTACCGATAAAGGCAAAGTTAATTTGTGATCAATTGATCAAATTTACTACCTCAAAAGCTCAAACTTATATGAAAATATCCCAAACTTTTGCCTTGAAAAAACTAATTTTAGAGAAAAAAAATTAGAAATCACAAATAGAATAAACATGGTAAGACTTTTATATCTATAAGATCGATAATATATTGCGCTCTATAACTATAGTTCTGTTTACTATGGAGATTTCAGTGGTATACTTCTGTCCGTTTAGCGAAATATACAAATAATGTAAGTATATACAAATTTTGTATTTGAACATTAGGAATTTTTCAGAACTCAGTTTGTATATTTTCTTTGCCAATATACAAATACGATAATTTATTCATGAATTGTATTCAAATAGTTAGAATAAGCATATACAAAATTCTGAATTTTACAATCAAGAATTGAATTATACAAATTCTAAATTTATACAAATCAGGAAAATTATATAAAATTATACGAATAAAACAAATAGCAAAATTTGATAAAACTGTAGCTGCCAATTAGAATTTTCCTAAACAGTAGCTATGACATTTAATATGATTTAAATACTTATTATTCTGCACAATTTTTCCTTTCAAAATCTTTTATTAAATGAAGCCACAAATTCAAAATCACCCTTTTGGTCTATGGATGCCATTCCCATAAATTACTCCAATTTCATTGAGCAACAATTTTCTCAATAAAAGAAAACTTTGAAACGGAAATAGTAAAATTCTAGAAGTTTTTAGAGCAAGTTTCATCCCATGATTTTTCCACAAGTTTGACCAATATATATTACTATTTACACAAACTTTATTATTCTAATATATATGAAACTTCTGTGCAAGTTCTAGAAAGTTAGCAAATGTTGAAAAAACTTAAGAAGAGAATGAAAAATATTTTTTTGTTTGAAGCATCATACCTATAAATAAATTCAATAATATACGTCTAAAGATAATCGAGCCTCAATATGACCGCAGAATATCAGGTGAAAAATAATTAAAGAAAGAAAAAAACAGCTTGAGCTTGAGGCTTTTTCTGTTTGTGTGACTAGTCATAAAATGGGCACAATTGGTTAGCATTAGTTGGTCACCTACACAACTAACCACTTTGTCCCAAATCTACCTAATTCCTGTGTAAACTATATAATAAAACAAAATAATGTCAAATTGTTACTATTTGTTTATCGGTCACCAATTTTTAAAAAAAACATCTTCTTTTGACTCTCCCTACTCAACTTTTTTCCTATATAAACAAACACAACATTTCTTATTCAAACAACATTTGTGTGATCAAACATCAATTAAAAAAAATAAAAATCTAATCATATCAAATGGCAAATCAAGGGAGCAAGATGAGTTTTTTCGCGATTATGTTTGCGATGATCTGTTCTGGAGTTGTTGCTCAATCGAGCAACGATTGCACGAACGTGTTGATTAGTATGTCACCTTGCTTGAACTATATTACTGGCAATTCCTCTGTTCCAACTTCAGGTTGTTGCACTCAACTTGCCACTGTGGTTAACAACAATCCAAGTTGTTTGTGTCAAGTCCTAAATGGTGGTGCTTCTAATTTGGGGCTAAATATTAACCAAACTCAGGCCTTGGCACTTCCTACTGCTTGTAATGTTCAAACTCCACCTCTTAGCCAATGCAATGGTAAGAAATGAAAATCAATCTTCTTGTTAATAGCCTTAATGTGTTCGCGTATCAACTCATCAGTAGTCTTGATGTGTTTATATATCATGTCTTCAATGCCTAATCGATGATCTGTTTCATGTCGTCGTTGTTGATATTGTTATAAACTTTGTTGCTCTCATCATACTAAAATCACTTTAGAGGTGAATATAGGTTATAGGGTGAGTGGATTCAAATCGAGTTTGATAAAATATTTGCTCTTTTGGTGACCTGAACCTAGACCTTAGGATTTTAGTTTCGTCAATCGTATTCCATGAATGTGTTCTATAAAGTGTATTCAAATAATGCTACTTCCAAAATTTTGCCACAATGATATTTACTTGACCAATACATCAACAAAAGCTTAAATAAGATACGTTTATAAAGCTACACCAAGAGGTTACTCAGTTATTAGGTTTTCAACGAATATTTTTTATATATTTAATTGTTTGTAATATAAATAAAGGGTCTATGAAAATCACACCTAATACCCTAGATCCGCCCCCTGGACTTAATATCAATTGATCAATCAAACCTAATTATTCTCAATTGTATATTATTATGATTTTGTATTGTTTGTCACCAAAATTTAGATCCTTCACTAACATTAGTTATTTTGAAACAGCTGATTCACCAATTGGCTCTCCAACAGGAACACCAACTTCTGATGGTTCAGGTATATTATACAACTCTTTCTGTATCAATTTATTTGTCGCACTTTTCTTTACTTTAGAATTTTCACCATGTAATGTCTATGGTTTGTTTCAGACTACGAAAGATTATATCTTTTTTATTCTTAATTTTTAGTGCTTAACACTATACGAATGTGTAACAGGACGTGGATCTAACAGAGTTCCATCACCACAAGATGGTTCAAATGAAGCAACTTCAACTAAAATGGCAGCTCCTCTGTTCTTCTTCCTTCTCTTCGTTGCTTCAACATTCACCTCGGCCTGAGATTTTCAGCTACGACTTTCATGAATAACGGAATTACTATGTTGATAGATTCATACTCGTGTATCGATTACCAGCTATATTTGTTTTATTTCATATGATCTACAGTCATTTTCTTGACGGAGATTATTGTATTTTCTTATTCTTTAGTTACATGATTTAATAAACTTTTGTATTGTATTTGGTATAGATATTTCAATTTGGTTAATTGATATATAGATTATCTTGTCAATTTGATATCAGAGCAGGCAGAGGTCCTGGCCAACACGTGACGGGGCGTGTTGAGAATATAATCTCTCTCTAATAGCTTAATCTTTTAGATGAAATGGTCCCACACTTCAACATTTACCATTAACAAAAGTTAGAAATAAAATAAATTTCCAAACAAACATAATTTGTTTTCAAATGAAAGAATTTAAAGATACATGTTTTAATTTTATCAACTTGTTCCAAATAATCCAAAGTTTCGTTCCAAGTTCCTTTTAGTATCGCGAAAATTTATTCTTTCTTGTTGGCTTGGCGGTGCTTTCCTTCCTCTCTGGAGAGAAGACAGAAAAAGGATGTTTCCCCGCTTTCCGTCCGTCGCTTCCTGAATGGTTTTTCCGCTTCTCATAGCTACTCTTTCCACAAATCGGGATATCTAGACCCAAATTGTCTAAAGAATCCGTAGATAAAAGACTAAACATTACCATATCTCTTGGTTCACCATCACGAAGATAATATTTCCTCATAATACCTTCTCTTGTAAAACCAGCCTTTTCCAACACCCTTTGTGATGCTGGATTTTCAACATCTACCACACCCTCAAGCCTGGCCAAACATGGCCATTCTACGAAGATGGTGGACGCCACCATCTTCACAGCCTTGGTGGCAATCCCTTTGCCCCAATACTTTGATGATATCTCGTATCCGATTTCAGCCCTGCAGCTATACCATTCTTGATCCAAAGGGGTCACACAAATAGTACCAATCACCTTGTCATTTAAACAAATTGCTCTATTCCATGGACGTGTTAATTCAAAATCCACCATGTGTTGCATTGCTTCTTCTTTGGATTCAAAAGGTTCACATGAATAGAACATACTAACGTTGTCATCCATGTAACATTCCATAAAATCATCAACATCAGTGAGGTCCAATGGACGAAGACTAATCATGTCGGAATCTGAATAATCATCTGCAACAACAGCGTCTTCTTTTGATTCAAAAGTGTCACAAGACACACTATCATTGACATATGCATAAAATTCCATAAAACCATCGACACCTGTAAGGTCCAATACACGAAGACTTATGTCTGAATCTGAATAATCATCTGTAACAACATCTTTGTCGTTACTCAATTTCAGCACCTCCTCGAATTTCATTGACAATTCTTCAGTATTCTCCATGGTGCAAAACTTAAATTAGCTAGAAAACTAGAAAATCTATTCAATCTTATAATTTTTTTGTACTATATATCCTATCTAGACATGAATTAGAAAAACTATAAAATATCAAATCCTATACAATCTTGGTTTTCTATGGCTTTTGAATTAGTGTTTCACCAAGCTGGCTTTTCAAATAACTCAAAAAAAAAGAAGGAATAATCAAGAATCTTCGAGAAAATTACTTTTGGTATAGGAATCGGAGAATCTAATTTTTTTAGTAGAAATTAATATATTATGGACTATGGTATAACAGTGTATACTTATTACAATTTGTAAAATATTGTAGAATGATATAATATAATATATAGAATTATACAAAATAGAGTACTCCACTATGGCCAACTCGAGATTCTAGAGAGGATGGTATATAAGTAACATGATACCTAACCTTAGTACCTTACATAAACGATTTCTAATAAACCCTCGGCTCGAGTAATTTATTGATCAGACTAAACATAACTAAATCTATTGATTTCCCCTTAACATAATAGTACTTCCTCAAAACACCTTCCTTAATAAAACCAGTTTTTTCCAACACCCTTTGTGATCCTATATTATCAACAGCCACAACACCTTCAAGCCTGGCCAAGTGGGGCCAGTCTACGAAGATGGTGGACGCCACCATCTTCACCGCCATGGTGGAAATCCCTTTGCCCCAATACTTTGATGATAATTCGTATCCAATTTCGCCCCTACATATATCACTTCCATGAAATGATGATACATAAATTGAACCAATTGGCTTGTCATTTAAGCATATTGCCCTATGCCATGGATGTGGTATAACAACAACAGCAATGTATTGCATCGCGTCTTCTTTGGATATGAAAGTAGTGTCACGAGAACAAAACTTATTAACGTTGTCATCCGTAAACCACTCCATAAAATCATCAACATCGGTTAGATCAAATAGACAGAGACTTATTATGTCTGATTGATCATCAACATCTCCTCGATTTTCATTGGCAACTCTTCGTTAAGACGAGTAAGATCAATAGAGGATGAATCAGATTACACAACCAAAAAACACTGAAATTCTCTTGATTTTATTATGTGTTAGAGATTATAGTTTTAGGGAAGTGAAACATGACAAAGCTGGAACTTTATATTAACTTAAACATGAAAATAAATAACGTTTCAAGGTCTTTACTGTTCATATAACTTAGTCACTAAGGAATGGAACTATCTTCAGTCACTTTCTTAGCAATTGACAGATTTTCTTGGAGAATCCATCACAGGTACTAAATTAATCAAGACGTTGTTTTCACTGCAATTTCTTATTTACTCGCGTCGTTTCAATTTGTTTGTCTTACTTTCCTATTTAGTCTATTTCAAAAAAGGAATGTCTCTTTTTTCTCCACTTCCACATGACATGTTCCCGTGGAGGTAAAGGTCCTGTTTCTGAAAAACACAAGTCGGAACCCCAAAAGTTAAATTTTTTAAGATCGATCTCTTCATTACACAACAACAAAAAGAGGACAGTGCATACTATAAGTTAATAAGGATCACAAAACTAGCTTTTGTGAATCATCAAACTCGTCTTAACTGGATCGTAGTGACAATAGGGCTAATCAATATAAGCATATTCATTCCATTCTTCGCTAGGACCTCCACATAGGGCAGCAAATGCCCCGAATGAATCGTCATCTGTGATATCAATTAACCTCGTCTGATATGGCACATCTTCAGCCCGGAGAGTGACAAAAGAGATTTCTGGGCTGGAGCAACCTTCATTCCCAGTTCCCTTGGAATATATGCTGGAGAGATCCTTACAGACAACCTCATTGGGACTCGATAAAAGTATTCGACACCAACAACTGTCTCACTAACTTCTTTGTCACTACATTGTTTTTTTTTTTTGAAGAGGATCCAACCTCTTGTGTATCCATTAAGCGTAGCCCGGTGCACAAAAGCTGCTTCCACGACTCGAACTGGTAACCTGTAACTTAAAACTCTCATGAAGACAACTTTAAAAGCTTAATTAGGAACCAAATTTGTTTAGATTTAAAACTTCTTTTCCACTGGGAAAAGAAACTCTGTTTCCCCTGAAAATATGAAGCGACAATTACAGAGTAATTACTCTGTTCACTTGTCACTCCACCATTATTTCAAAGGGAAAAAGTATTAATATACCCCTGAATTAATGATATACAAATATTTTTCGTCATACTTTGGGATATTGGTGCTCTTGTCGTTAAAAAATTAAAATGTATATACCCTTTATACTAAGAGACGATTTGATTTTTAATCAACGGATAACGTGTTCCTTTTTAGTCTTCCGTTACAGTTAGAGTAAAGGGCATATATGCTCAAGTTTTGGAACAGAAAGGACACCAATGTCCCAAAAGTATGACGAAGGTATCTGCATACCATGTACGATGGTTCATGAATATATTTATCTTTTTCGCTTATTTCAAAAATAGATTTTGTTATTATTAACATATCAAAGAGTGTTTATATATTATAGTATTCGTATTAATTATTTATCAACCAAATTTAATTAGCAATTCTTCAGATTCCATTGCCTCAATTAGATGAAACTTTAACTAAATATGTAAAACTGTAAAGGAAAAAAAGGCATTGATTCAAAAAATTTCATAATACTAGAAACTAGAAACCTATTCATATACTATAAAATTTTGACTATAAATCCTGTTTAGAAGATAAATAAAGTTGATACACCCTCGACTCAAGTAAGTTGATCGGTAGGTAAAAGACTAAATATAACAAGATCACTTAGTTTCCCGTTAAAATAATAATACCTCCTCAAAACACATTCTTTTGTAAAACCAGCCTTCTCCAATACCCTTTGTGATCCTATATTTTCAATATCAACCTTACCCTCAAGCCTGTTCATTAGTGGCGAGTCTACGAAGATGGTGGCCACCATCATCTTCACAGCCTTGGTCGCGATTCCTCTGCCCCAATACTTTGATGATAACACGTATTTAATTTCACCCTTCGACTTATCACTTCCATCACGTAAAGGTGATACAGAAATATAACCAATTGGATTGCCATTTAAGCAAATTGCTCTGAACCATCGTCGTGGTACAATATATTTAGCTAGGTGAATCATCGCGTCTTCTTTGGATTTGAAAGTACGTTGCTGAGAAAACTTGTTAATGTTTTCATCCGAACACCATTCCATAAAATCACCAGCATCACTAGCCTCCAATAACCGGAGACTTATTATGTCTGATTGATTGATCATCTTCTATATTTTTTACTAAAACACAAAAAAACTTGTGAAGTCCTCCTTTGTGCTACAACTTATATTAGCTACAAAACTTAGTCAATATATAATTTAAACTATAAATCCTATTTAGACATGAATTATAAAAACATCTAAAATACCAAATCATAAACAATTTTGGTTTGTTCCAACAAGTGACTTTTCATATAACTCAAAAAAAGGAATATAATAAAGAGTTTCGAGGAAATTAGTTTTGGTATAGGAATTGGAGTCAAACTAATCTTTATATTATTTGAAATTATATTCTTAAAATAGTAAATGGGGAGACCCAAAATGGCAAACATTTGGTACTATATTACCCTCCATAATACAGTTGGCTATAGTTTCTTAAATTTTGTTATTCAGTTTATAACTGTACGAATCTAGAATTTGTATAATTTTAATTTTTGATGGTATAAATTTAAATTTTTATATGCTTACATTAGGTGCTTGTATACAATTTGTTGAATACATTTGATTTGTTTAAGTTATAAAAAAAAATCTTAATAAATTATCTTGTTTGTAATATCGACAAGCGAAATATACAACGGAGTTCTAAAAAATTATTAAGGGTATAAATACATATTTATATATACATACTTTGTTTGTATATTCGAAGCAAAATATACGAATAAAAATATTTGTAACAAACAAAACTATAACTTTGGAACATGATTTAAGCAAATTGTATCTACGAAGGTAACTAAATTTTGTAATCTCTTTATTATTTGTGAAATTTTCTCAAAATATAATTACTTGAACTTATATTGCATATTTATAGCCCAAAACTTATATCATAAATCTTTAGCCCCAAAGTGTTGCACACCTTTTCTTTCATTTTTTTCCTCTCTTTCTTCTCTTCTGGCTTTAGTCTCAAAAAGCAGAGAGTTCAGTCCATCTTATGGTATAGCATATACTTATTACAATTTGTATAATGATATATATAATTTATACATATAGAGAGAGAATTATACAATAGCTATACATACTAGAGTACTCCACTTTAGCCAACTAGAGATTCTCGAGAGGATGGTACGTACGTAGCTTAATTCATATCTTGTGAAGGTAAATAGATGGTTTCCAATAAATCCTCGGCTCAAGTAAAGTACGCAAGTTGTTGATCAATAGATAAAAGACTAAACATAACAATATCTATTGGTTTCCCCTTAACAAGATAGTACTTCCTCAAAACACCTTCCTTAATAAAACCAGCCTTTTCCAACACCCTTTGTGATCCTATATTATCAACAGCCACAACACCTTCAAGCCTGGCCAAGTGGGGCCAGTCTACGAAGATGGTGGACGCCACCATCTTCACCGCCATGGTGGCAATCCCTTTGCCCCAATACTTTGATGATAATTCGTATCCAATTTCGCCCCTGCATATATCACTTCCATGAAATGATGATACAGAAATTGAACCAATTGGCTTGTCATTTAAGCATATTGCCCTGTACCATGGATGTGGTATAACAACATCAGCAATGTATTGCATCGCGTCTTCTTTGGATATGAAACTGGTGTCACAAGAACAAAACTTATTAACGTTTTCATCCGTAAACCACTCCATAAAATCATCAACATCGGTTAAATCCAATAGACGGAGACTTATTATGTCATCTTCTTTGTTACTCAATTTCAACGTCTCCTCGAATTTCATTGGCAACTCTTCGTTGACATGAGTAATATCAATAGAGGATGAATCATATTCCATAGCCAAAAAAACACTGAAATTAGAGATAATAGTTTTAGGGAAGTGAAACAAGGCAAAGCTGGAACTTTATAAGTATTATTTAAACATATAACTTAGTCACCAAGGAATGGGAAAAAAAAGGCATATGAACTTTCTTAGCAACCTCACTTGACAACTGTACAGCTTTTCTTGGAGAATCCATCATTCAGTTCTAAATTAATCAGAATGTTGTTTTCACTGAAATATATATTAATCGTTTTGTTTCAATTTGTTTGTTTTACTTTTCTTCATAGTCTGTTTATAATAACCTTACCACAATACAACAAAAATAACTTTTAGCGCCATTAAATATTGATATTAATAAATAGTGTTTAAGTCTTTACCGAAATTAGTCAAGTGTCATTAGAATCACTGTCACTAAAGGTTTTAGGAAAATATACGAAGAATGACAATTGCCGCAAAAAATACATATTTAGTGACAATTAAGAATGATCATTTTTTTGTTGTAGTGCCACTACCTCGTGGAGGTAAAGAGGTTGTTACCGAAAAATACAAGTAGTCACAACCGTGAAAGTTATATTATATAAAATTTCTTCATTGGCAATTCGATGAAATTTAATTAATTGTGAATGGAAAAAAAAAGAAGATAATTTATTCATAATTTTCCATAATACAATACTAATTTTACCTAGATACTAGATAACCTATTCAGTAAATCAGGTAATAAGTTGATTTAACAAGATCTCTTAGTTCCCTTTTATACCTATAATATTTCCTCAAAACACCTTCCCTTGTAAAACCAGCCTTCTCCAACACCCTTTGTGATCTTATATTACCAATATACACCATACCCTCAAGCCTAACCAAGTATGGCAAGTCTACGAAGATGGTGGACGCCACCATCTTCACAGCCTTGGTCGCGATCCCTCTGCCCCAATACTTTGATGATAACATATATCTTATTTCACCTCTGAACCTTTCAATTCCGTGATCAGGTAATACCTCGATATAACCAATTGGCTTTTCGTTTAAACAAATTGCTCTGAACCATTGTTGTCGTACGATAGATCTATTAATGTATATCTTCGCGTCTTTTTTAGTTGAAAAATGTCCAACGGAAAAGAACTCTTTAACGTTTTCATCCAAAGACCATTCCATAAAATCATCAGCATCTCTTTCATCCAATAAACGGAGACTTATTATGTCTGATTCATTCGTCATTGTATTTCTGTATATAGAAGAATAACGAGCTACATTCCTATTTATAATATCAAAACTTATTTCTATGTGAACTAGGACAAACAAATTTTAATTATATATTAATTAAATAATAAATCTTGTATAATTTAGGATTTCTATTTCAACTTTGGATAAAAAAAGAGGTATTTTTACCCATAGTGGTTTTTACACCTTTTTGTTGTGAGCATAAAAAAGGGTATATTTTTATACTGTTTTTATTGTTTTATTGGAACACGTTAGAAAATCTATTTCACTTAGAATAGTTAACTATCTCTTGGATTGTATAGAATAATAATATTTTTGTTAAATAGGAGTAAGATTAGGGAAGTATAACATGACAAAATTGAAACTTTATATTAAGCTAATAATATGAAGGATAAATAATGTTTCAAGGAAATTGCAAGGTCTTTACTGTTCTTATAATGGGTCACTTGCAACCAACAACAAAAAAATAAATTATAAACTTGTTGGTTATAATTTTAGTTCAATATTAATCTATTACTCATTACCTTTTCATATAAGTTCTCGGTTTGATTAGACACAAAGTTTAAGGAAAATAGAAAAAAAATTGAATACTACTATACTTACATTAAGGTGTAAAGAATGCTACTATATTCGTTTAGCTTTTACTTGTCTATTATACTAAAAAATAATTGTCCAACAATACTTGTCCAGTTTAAAAAATCAAAAGATAATTTATCCTGTTATATCTACTTGTTGTTATTATTGAATACTATTCAATATCTAATACAATTTCCAAGCATTAAATTCAATATATTCAAAGGATATTATAATAATATTATCCTTATTATTTATTATTTATTAAAATGTGTCCAAGTTAGTGAAAAAGTGTTGTTATACAGAGTGAGTATATTCCAATAATTTCATGATGTTAAGAAGTACTATAGAAGTTCTGTTTGAAAATTTCTAAATGTTCTGTAAATCAGAAATCAAAGTTAAAACTATATTATTTTATGTCACATAAATTGAGGCATATAAAAAAAAGTCATAGCTATATAAATAATTTCAAATAGTAAAACTAATCTTAAAATACACAAGTCTTGTCTACAGAATCACTAGCCTTCTTATAACAGAGTCAATAAGATGTAATCATAGATAAAAACTAAAAGTGATCTCCTCAACATTCAAGAAATATTTAATCTCTCAGCACACTCAAAACATTCTTAAGCTTCATAAGAAATTAATTAATTAATTAAAAATTTTACAAACTTACACAAAATAGCTAATAGGTTTCTATGATCGATCCGTGACCCCTGAATATCAAAAACATCCTTAAGCTAATCTCGTAATACCTATAGGATAGAGATGATAAGATCGATCCATGAATTTTCCTTTGATAACTTATTAATCACCAGATAAAATACTAAACATAACAATATCTTTTGTTTTCCCTTTAAGTAAATAGTACTTCCTCAAGACACCTTCTTTTCTAAAACCAACTTTTTCCAACACCCTTTGTGATCCTGGATTATCAACATCAACCACAGCTTCAAGTCTCTCTAAGTGAGGCCAATCTACGAAGATGGCGGACACCGCCATCTTCACTGCTTTAGTAGCAATCCCTTTGCCCCAATACTTTGATGCTATGACATAACCAAGTTCACCTCTACATTTATTAGTACCATAAAAAGGTGAAACTGAAATTGTACCAATTGGTTTGCCATTTAAACAAATTGCTTTGAACCATGGATGTGGAATTGCAACATCAATTACGTATGATACTGCATCTTCTTTCGATTTAAATGTATCCCATGAACAAAATTTACTAACATTGTCATCACCAAACCATTCCATAAAATCATCAACATCTGTTAGGTCTAGTAACCTGAGGGTAATTATGTCATCTTCTTTGTTACTCAATTTCAAATTCTCAAGATTAGAAGATGTATCAGATACCATTGCGTCAAAATGAAGAAAAAAAATGAAAATATATTGAAGCTAATGAGATTTTTTTGTTTGTTTGTATGGTTTCTAGATCATGGAGATGTGGCCTTTTTATATTATTAATAATCTTGGAATTAATTTGACCATTGAAAATCGAGGAGTCAGATAAGAAACCTTCTTGGAACTTTCTTAATCAGAGATCTCGTTGTGATTGGGTTTGAGCCACATCAATTTCGAATAGACCTTGCAATGTGCGATTCAAATTTAATTAGGGCTCTAATACGAGCTTCAAACATTAAGTGAAAATCAAAAAATAAAAAGCATTATTAAAAGTTATAACGGAATGAATGAGATTATTTCGCTTTTAACTAGATATTTATATGAACCACGGCAATGAAGAAATTCTTGATAGGAGCATAATATATATAAATAAATGTTCTAATTTGACTTCAATCGATTATTAAACACTATTAAAGATGTAAATCTGATTAACTCGTATGTACCGTCCGATTAAACATTCTAACTTATATCTAGATACTTTTTAACTTTTTATATCATGTTAAAATCGAGTATCTATTATACACAACAAAAACAAATAAAAATATACTATATATAAATTTTAAAATGAAGTCAACTGGATATTTACTGTTTTTATGACTTGATCACCAAGAAATTGGAACTATCACGAACCATTTGCAGCCAATAAATTGAAAGAGAGCAATAATTTTGATAGCCGCCTCACTTGACTACTTTCCAACTTTTTCTTGGAAAGATCCATCACAAGTGCATAAAAGTTAAAGATAATATTTTATTGTCACGTAATTAAAAAATTATAAAGTTAAATTATAAAAAAAAAATTATAAAATAAGAAATTTCATTCATAACGAAAATTATAAAGTTAAATTATAAAAAAAAAATTATAAATTTCATTAAAAAACTTAAATATTGGCACAACCTCATAATATACTAACTTACATATAAATATTTTTAAATTATTATTTTTTTACTTATTAAAATTAAAAATAAAATTTACTTATATTTTTGTTTAAGATTTTAGTATTATATATAAAATATAAGAATCTGAAAATAAATTGTATAAAATGGAATCAAACAAAATAATAAGTTGTACTTATAGTTTATTTGTTATGTTTTGAATAATTTTTATTAGGCAAAAGTATTAATTACCTCTGAACTTGAAGCTTTTTATTCGTTGTACACTTAAATTTTATTTTATTTGAATTACCTCCGAACTTGTTTATTCATTCAATGTGTGCACCTTTTCTGTCCACCTGGCGTAGAAATTGAAATCACACTCTACTAGGCGCGTGAAGGAGTGATTTTTTGCCACGTCATAAAGCTACAACAGTAAAAATAAATATAAAATCTCTATTTTTTTTAATATTGACCGGCCGCAGACGACATCACCCTCCTCGTCGTCATCATTATCAAAGCCCAAGGGTCAGTTCTTCGTGTAGCAGAGTTATTTCTCATCGTTGAAAATGGATAAGGATTCCGATTCAGCTGATTGAGAAAGGTGAGAGGAGATGGAGTGTTATGTGGGTTGGAAGAAACCGTGTTGTTTTGCAGCGGAAAGGAGGTTAGAGTGAAGAATTGATTTTGCATTAGAAAGAGAGATGAGAAGAGGAGATATGATGGTTGGTGGTGGAGATTGACGGCGACCGGAAAAGTAGTTGGAATATGATATTTATTTTTTGATATTTTAATTTATCTAGGTGGCTATTATTTGTGCAGGTGGAAATCCACATCATCACTATTTTGTCAGCTGACGCGCGTGTCTAGTCACACTAGAAGCAACAGACAAAAAGGTGTACGAGATAGTGGGATAAACAAGTTTGAGGGGATAATTAAAACAAAATATAATTTAAATGTATACCAAATAAAAAGTTTCAAATTCAGGAAAGTGATAGAATACTTTAACCTTTTTATTAATATAATATCATAATATTAATTATTTACATCATCACATGCCTTATATATATATATTAAGGTCCAAAACTCACTCGACCAAGATTTATACAAATCCAAAACATACAGAGTAAATAACAGAGGGGAGATCATAACCAGAACAAGTTCAATTAAATGGACAACACAAGAATCTCTCTCAGGCCATTCAACATTTCTGATGCTAACAATCTCTTTACATGGGCTAACGACGAAAACGTTACACATTATATATCTAAGATGGAACACAATCACATCAATTGAAGCAGCAACAAATTACATCCAACAAGTTGTTATTCCACATCCATGGCGTCGATCCATTTGTTTAAATAATCATTCAATCGGATACGTATCAGTAAGGCCAGAATCACGGAGTGATCAAAATCATAGAGCTCACATTGGATATGCAATTGGTTCTGATTATTGGGGACAAGGAATTGTTACTAAGGCATTAAAAATGGCCATACCAATTGTGTTCAATGATTTTCCTAATTTTTGAGGTTAGAAGCATTGGTGGAACCTGCAAATACAGGGTCACAAAAGGTGTTAGAAAAAGTTGGTTTCAAAAAAGAGGGGTTTTTAAGGAAGTATTGTTTTAATAAAGGTGAAATTAGAGATATGTTCATCTATACCTGATCAAATTTTGTGACAAAAAGGGGAAATTATGTTCTATGTGACGGAGCTATAGTTCTGCTTATGGATTCAATAAAATCCAGGCGTTCTGGCTGAAAGTCGATATTTGTGTTAAAAGATATATTTTAGTAAGTTGTTTTTTCGAAAATTCAGAAGGATTCCAATTCAAAACTCATAAACTCAATATTCTAATTTGTCTCTGCTTTGACTATATCTAATCAACAAAGCTAAAGTGAAGAGATGAACAAATTTTGTATGAGTTTAATTTCTATGAACTGACATCGTATAGATACAACAGAAAAGAGAGTTTTCAACCCATTGGGATAAGAAGAAGAAGAGGGATTTCTACCATTTATGGATCACCTAAGATGAATATAGTCATTCAAGTATTCTATAATTATAGTAGATTAAGTGTAATTACTTCCACAAATAGATATAGCAAATAGAAATTGTTCTTGTATAATTTCAAACAAACTCATAAA